GGTATCGAAACCCGGTTTCTAGCGTTCCAAGTCCGCAGACATATCGCTGTGCAACTGGGGGTTTTGTGAGAGTAGATTAAATTACTAAATGATGAACAATCTCATTTCATGATAATAAAGATGCTTCGAACAAGAAAAAATATCATATATTCCTCCATGTATAATGTTTTAAGTTACAACGAACTGATTAATGAAGCATAAACTTGTAATTCCTTTTAATCCCCGTTTCACTATATAAATCAACAGAATTTAATTAAAAACGATCAGGGAAAAATAAATGCAATAGCCTATTCTATCTTAAATCAAGTTGTAAATTTAGAAAATTCATGTTGTTTTGAAATTTATCATTGGTAGTTTTTTTTTAATTTATCTTTTATTCCTTGATTTGTTTCTACAGTTTAATATACCCATGTTTTAAGTTTTTACACCTAATGATCTCTACATTCATCATACTTATATAATTTTAAAGAGAATAACATAGTCAGAAACTTCTCAAGCCATAGTAGCTACAGAAAACTTTCATTGCAATATATTTGTTATGCGATGGATATTTTGATTTTTCATTCGAGTGGAAATGGTTATCGTAAACATTAAAAACCCACGCATACATATATATATACATACCTATGTACAGTACATATCCTGGTTAGTTCTACAAATCATTTATGTCATTTACATAGCAAAGAGTTTTTCTTAAGCTGTTATGAAATATATATTTTCAAAGCTAGGTTCATAATACAAAGAAAGGAAAAAAAATATTCCTGCTTTTGCAGAAAACACGTTTATTTATATTTTCTGAACATATAAAGGTATTTAATTATTACAAAAAATTTAAAAGATAAAAACATGTCAAATTTCATACAATCTTTATTTGTATACTTTACGTACGTTCATGTCCTGGATTTCAATTCATTCGTTTCCAAACCTTTACATCGACTACAAAATGCAATAAATACTGTACAGAAGGAGCACCACGAAAGCACAGCAGACACTTATAAAACTGTTGAATAATATAACAAAAATAACATCTTCCTTTAGGTCTTAACATCAGCTAAAGAAACGCTGGGAACATTAACATTCTAATGTAGTAAGATGTTCATAATTTTATTGCATCGTTCACCATGTTTAAATAACAACTTTAGACGAACATGTGACTGTAAATGGATACTATTTATCTGAGTGACAGAGGAGAGATGGTAGGTGAGTTCAAAGAAGCAGTGTGGCTTGATTTGATTGTTACTTGTTTAAATTATTTTTGTTATAACTTTTGTTACAAGATTAGCACACCATTAGTATGATACTTACTGTGTGTGTGATATTAACATAGCGATGTAGAGAATTAATTAATACATCAGTACGCCATATACTTTTATTATACAGTGTTTAATGAAGACGTAAAACCAAATACTTCAAACGTGAAATAAAAATATTTTACAGTATTAAAACTGACACTATTAATACCAAACAACAACAATAATTAAATTTCCATTTTCATGAAAGAAAGCTATGCTTTTTTTTTTCTCTTTGAGTATTTGAATTCACTTGGTTCACAGTAAATATTTATGGACGAGGATACTTGAAAAAGAGTGGTGGGTGTATTAAATGAAATTTGACTGATATGAACATGATTTTCATTTCTCTGTACTTGTAAATGTTTAGCTATTTTTTAGGGCCTCACAATTTTCTTAATGTCAACATTGAGGTAGTGTTATGTGCTATCTATCTTTCTAAACAGGCTTTTTAAACTGACGTTGCCTAGTGTTATTACTCGTTACTAGACGTTGCTTTCAGCGCAACAACAATAAAGCAACCAATACAATCTTAGATGAAGAAAAACTCTTCATATCCAATTTTAAACTAGCCAATAAATCGATCGCGTGATATTGTTTGACACAAGTTAAATCACTAGAAAACCTTTATGTGATTATGAAAATAACTGTATTTCTCATTAAATGCAATAAACAAAGCTTTTCCTGTGTTCAAGGTAAGAGACTATAGACTGCCTTTATACTGCTGTTTGAAATATTCTATTCTTTGTAAACTGAGACATCGAGAACGTAAAGGCTACATTGTACATAAATTAAAAGAAAACATATGAAACACCCGAGAAGTCTCTTGAGACACTAACTTGAATCTGTACTTTAGACAAATAAAATATTACACTAATTTATAAAACTGATGTGAAAGAATGAAACTAGTATTAATTGATTTTGACGGATATTTTAATAAAATTTGGTTTGTTTAGTTTGAATTTATCCTGGGCTATCTACACTAGCCGTCCCTGATTTAGAAGTGGTAAGGAAATAATCTAGTCAACACCGCCAACTCTTGGGCTTCACTTTTTACCAACAAATGGTAGGATTGGCCGTAACATTTCCACGGCTGAAAGGGCGAGTATGTTCAATAACGGGGATTCGAACCCGCAACCCTCAGATTCTGAGTCAAGCGTTCTAACCACCAGGCCATTTTTATTAAAGACAAGACAGGAAGTATCGTTATCGAAAGTCCCCCGTAAAACCATATATCTAGTAAATATTTATCCATACTGCAGCGAACCCATAAGTAAAATTTACTATTATTATTATTTCAAACACGTTTGTCTTTATCTTATCTTGTTTCTTCTCACCAAATATATATACTGTATACGTTTTTCCAGTAAGCTATAAAAACTGTCATCTGAAGTTTTGATTTTTTCATCCCAAGATAGCTAACCATGTCGCAAATATATCAAGTTTTTTTTATCAATATTTACTCTATAGAGACTTCTTACGGGAATAGGCCCGGCATGACCAGGTGGTTAGGGCGCTCGACTCGCAATCTGCGAATCCCCGTCACACCAAACATGCTCGCCCTTTCAGCCGTTATAATGTGACTGTCAATCCCACTATTCGTTGGTAAAAGAGTAGCCCAAGAGTTGGCGGTGGGTGGTGATGACTAGCTGCCTTCCCCCTAGTCTTACACTGCTAAATTAGGGACTGCTAGCGTAGATAGCCCTCGTGTAGCTTTGCGCGAAATCCATAACAAACAAACAAACTTACGGCAATAAAAAAAAAAATTAAAATAAAACACAATAAATAACACAAGGTATCAAATAATTAAAATAAACCTGGGAAGAGCAAATAATAATACCTTAAAAACTTCTATTCTTATAACTTAATCAAGTATCTTTGGTTTATAATTAGTTTGTGACATTATTTTGTTTTTTTGTCATACGATGTCTCTAAGATCATTTTTTCTATTGAAATTCAAATTACAGCACATAAATATCCCAAAGTTCCTTTTTATCCTTCCAGTTCTTTGATGTTTGGAATAAGAAATAAAATATTTTTAATATATGTGTTCGAAATCATAGCTTAAATTAGTCCAGCTAGGTAAAATGTGAGCCTAATCATCAATATAAAAATATATCTAATCTGAACTTTAATGAAGTAATTATTCAAGCTCTGATGAAGTATGGCAGCAAAAATCTCCGAAGAAATTTTCAAAACTTTTGGTTTTTACTTGCATGACTTCTGATTGCTTGCATATTTTATAATTTATCTTATCATTTGAAATTGGAATGTTTAAACAAGAAAATTAGTGAAAAGTATGTGACTGGTAAAATGTTCAAAATAGTAGCCAGACTCTATTAAGATTAAATAAACAAGAATAATGTAAAAATAATATGTTGTGATTGAGTTGAAATGTCTTTATAGTTTTATCAATTTATTCATTTACATTTAAATGTAAAAATAATATGTTGTGATTGAATTGAAATGTCTTTATAGTTTTATCAATTTATTCATTTACATTTAATTTGTATATCTAATTGTCCATCTATTAGTAGATGAAAAATGTTTTCCTAATGTTTTGAAATAGTGTGTTTCTTGGAATCTATTTATATATAGAGACCGTATGATATTAGAAATATTTATTTAAGACTTTATACTATATTTTTTACTTCTTTCATTTATGGGATATCGAACTCCGATTTTTAGCGCTTTAAGTCCGTAGACATACCACTAAAGGGCTCTTTCATTTATTTACCACTAATACATATAGAGATTCAAAGGGAAAATACTGAGGTTTTTTGTAAGTAAAGTCGCGATATATTTTTAGATAATCGAATCGTAATCGATTTCCAAATCATTAAGTCAATAATCGTTTCTATTGTTTGTTTTTAATAAAGCACAAAGATACACAATGGGCTATATGTGCTCTGCCCACCACGGGTATCGAAACCCGGATTCTAGCGTTGTAAGTGCCGCATGCCGCTGTGCCACTGGGGGGGGGGGGCGTTTCTATTCACAGACTGGAAGAATAAATTTGTTTGAATACGAAAGTTTATCCCTGAATATATAAACAAACCTTTAATTGATTGAATATCCAATTATATCGAGTAATTACGGTAATATTTAAGTGTCACGTGACTCACAACAGGTGTGAGTCGTACACGCTGGATTATATTCTAAACAGTCATTCACACAATACAACACCCGGTAAACCAAAGAACAATTCCACGCAAAAAGATTGTTTCTAGAAAAGGGTAAAATATATTCACTATATTGTCCCTACGTTTTAGTTTTGACTATTTGTCGACAATCATGTGTTCTAATGTTGGATTCCAAATAACTGACGGTTATCCGATCCGACTTTATCAAAACGATTAATCGATTTCAACATTTCAAAATCGTCGCAACTTTATCTATTTCATACACTACGTCACGGAAAACAAGTTTAACGGTCATACCAAAGACGGGAGTTAATCACAACTGTGTGTTAACGGCCATACCAAAGACGGAGTTAATCACAACTGTGTGTTAACGGCCATACCAAAGACGGAGTTAATCACAACTGTGTGATTACTATACCTACCAAGAGGATTGCCGGTTCCGTGGTTCTCCAACTTTGACGGAGTTAATCACAACTGTGTGATAACTATACCTACCAAGAGGATTACCGGTTCCGTGGTTCTCCAACTTTGACGGAGTTAATCACAACTGTGTGATAACTATACCTACCAAGAGGATTACCGGTTCCGTGGTTCTCCAACTTTTGAAGAATCTCTGAAATTCAAAAAGAAATTCTGCGTCATGACTCTAAGGTTGTATTTTGCTTTCGTTCAAATACAATAAATTGATAACAATATGAAGCACACGTATTTGATAGTATATAATTATAAGTTTAAATTATAATTGAAATCACATTATAATTACTATATATACACAAAATTCTGTGTTGACATAAAACTAAACATATATTTTTAAATGAAAGTTCACTTTAATTTTAATTAAAGGCTAATCTTCTAAGGTCATAAAAGTAACTAAAAAGGGTGTTAGAAGCAGTAACAACAACAACATAAGTATTGTTCTTCTAAACCGATCCACACAAAAAATGGAGTTTTAATTATTCAGTACCAAATCGTGAATAAGTCAAAGAAAATGATGTACTTTGTACTGGATTAGAAGCGTTATACTGATTTATAACATATACCGGTAAAAAATAAATAGAAATAAACGCCAAACAACTAGAGACTTAGGAATCCGTTGATTCGCTATTTGTAAGCACTGTTTTTCGCATTACAGAAAAAGAAAAACAGTCAGTTGGGGGAAAAAAATACAGTAAATTGCTGGAAAGCGTAAACTTTAAAAGGAATATTTCAAAAGATTATCAATCCTTGGGGATCGTACCATGGGGTTATCCATCCTATTTTCAAACTTGAGATTGCATGATAATCATTATTCTGTACAAAATGAAGTTATTTCGACGTGAATTACGAGTAGTTTAAAATTTAGTTAAAAATCTGTTAACAAGAAATTGTTCGTAATATATTTTTAATCAGTTTATCATTTCAACCTGTGAGGTAATTACTGGGTTGTTCGCAACTATTACGTTTTTCTGTGGAAGGATCACGCATGTCACGAAACTGTACTTTGCTGTTAGGTACAAATTTGGTATGTTATATTACAGATTTGATGTAATTTTTTCTCATTTATACATTTCAAGAACAAATCAAATTCTTATTCTAACCCATTCGAGCAATTGATAAGTCGATAAAAACAAAATATAAATTGTTCAATATTAAAGATAAAATAGAAATTTCATTCGGCTTTGTTTGTAATTAAGCACAAAGCTTCACAATAGGCTATCTGTGCTCTGTCCAACACGGGTATCGAAACCCGGATTCTAGCGTTGTAAATCCGCAGACATACCGCTGTGGCACTGGGGGGCATTCGGCTTTGTAAAATATGATAACCATTCAAATACATTTGATTTCATACTTTCTTCAATTCCAAAATATAAGTTACAATCTAAACAAGATATTATAGAACTTTAACTATAGAGATTGAGTATTCATATTAGTAATTTATATATGTTAAACTGTGAGTCCTGACATCATTTTGTTGAACGTGTTATACATCTTTGCAAGCACGCAAACAGTGGAAATAGTATATTTTAGTCTTTAATGATATATTTCTTATTTTTGTTGTTTCCTGTCTGTTGACGATCAGCCCAACTGTGGTATACTAATCAACGTGTCGGACTGGAGGTCAAAAAATCCTGGATTCGAAACGTGGTACTACCAAACACACTTTACAATTCCAGCTGTTAGTGAGTTATAAAAGTAACAGTCAGTCACGCTATTCAATTATTACTAGTTGAATCAGGTGGCTAGCTTGCTAGCTTTTAAACATCCGTCCTGCGCGCTGTTCACATTTAGGGGTAGCTATGCTTGAACCATAGGGAGCTATGTTATGGTCGATCAGCCATTTGTGTCCTTTGGGTGAACAAACAAACTGCTGATGGTTTGTTAACAGGAAAACTTATAAACCATTTAGCAGAAACTACACAATTTATATCAACAATATGGAGTTTCTCAGCACTGTATCTCATTATCAGAAAAACACGTTGATTTCCACTTATTATATTCTAAATTTACCCTAATGTTATAACCTTATTTGGTAAAATTTATGTGTAAAACATGAAAAAGATTTAACTCAATACTTTATGTATGAAGGGCCATATTTGACTGTACATGACCGAGTTTGTGATATTCTCGTTTAAAAACTACAGTATTCCTCTTTCCGTAATAAACACAAACAAAACTGTTTTGGTGCATTTTAGGAAAAGGACGAGTACTGTAGTTTTTACCTCGTTTATCACGCAACAAAATAATAGTACGTGCTCCTTCTGCACTTATTGTCTTGTAGATAGACGTTAACGTCACTTCTCTCAAGCAGGTACTGTACAAAGCCACAGTAGCGTAAAGTAAGTCGGAAAGAGGGGCCACCTAGAAGGGGTAGAAAAACGAATTAACAAAATTAACAGAATACAAGAAAAATGAAAACAAACTTAAAACGTAACAACAAACTTTCTTCTATATATGGTCTTTCTTCACTTGGTGATCTTTTATAAATATTCTTGTACGTGAAAAACAAACACACTAGAACATCAAGAAGAAACGAGCGATGTCTTATTTAAATTAAGATACTACTATTTACAATTAAGAAAAAAGATATGAGTAACAAGATATAGGTACCTAATAGAATCTCCAGTTTCCTTTTCATCAGTTGCTCAGTTGGTTTACGCTATAACTTCAGGATACAACAGACATATGTGTGTATATCTTAACTCGTGTTGAGCCGAGATAAATATTTACACGAAGACAGCAAGTTTATTCTTAAATTATGTTTAGAGTTAATAATTATTTGTAGTTCTTCTAAGTATGATGTAACCACAAACATAAAAATTATAACCTGGGTAACACGTAGGTTATTACAGTATGCATAAAGCTTAACCCTGGAATTGCCGATGACCGCACATTTTCAAATATATTTTATGCACTTCATTGCTTGTGGGTCCATGACCTTATTGGGTTTCAATTACGATGTAAATTAATACTGCAATTAATCCTACTAACGCTGGAGTTCCCCATGTCTTACATAGAAAATGAATGATCTCACCCAATATTTCTGGTCAGTTTTTACACTGAGAGTTGTAACGGACAAAACTATAAAATTAATAAATAAGTTGTGGAACCTCTGGTGACTCAGTGGTAAGTCTACTGGCTTACAACGCTAAAAATCATGTTTCGATACCCGCAGCACAGATAGTCCACTGTGTAGATGTGTGTTTAACAATAAACACACAAGCAACATGTGGATCCCACAGGGTAAATGAACAATACAAAGAGCAGGTCGCTAATTTCAGGTCCTAAAAGTGGTTCGAACTTTCCGCTTACAAACTATTTCATCAGCTGATGAAAGAGTTATACATTAGAAAAGAATGAGAAGTGAAATAAGAAAGCAACCGGAAGAGAAAGTCAGAACTAAAATGGGAAGGCAGCCATTATACCAATTTCTCTTTTATTTTTTAATTTCTGTGAAAGAAGTAATCAGTGTTTTATAACTTACTGTAAATATTTCTGATAACATGTGATTTTGTTTTACTTCTGATAACATGTGATTTTGTTTTGAAGCAAATAAAATAGAACTTACATTTACAGCGATAAAAAATATAATGGAATTCAAGAGCAGTAAAAGATAATAGTTATTGTTTAGCTGGTTTACCATTTTTTAAATAAAGACATTTATTCTGTACCGGAGTTAATCAACAGACTAATCGTTTTAAAACAATCTTATCTAAAATCTAATTAAGAACCAACACTTAAAATACGATGAATGTTATTCTGAAGGTACATTATCCAGGAATTGGTTACTCAGGGAGTTTATCATTAAACTAAATACATCCCAGCAAGTTTCGCAGAATATGAGGTTCAAGGAACACTTTTCTTTTTCAGTTATATCTAGACGAAACAGAATATTTTCTGGTTTAAATAACACTAATGTGTAGAATAAATACGTTTGATGTGGGAAGCGATATATCCTTGGCTGGTCAATTTAGTGTAATTCTATTAACACGTTTAGACATATTGCTTTCTAAGTCATGCGGTCAAAATGATTAGGTGCACAAATAATGCATTAAACATTATTAGGTCAAATATTTTGGTTTTTGAATGAGTTCTACAGAAAAGATAATCGGTCATATATGAATGTATGCGTTACTAGAGGATAAAATTTAAACTATCATTATACATAGGAACTTTTGAACCAATTGTACCTTATTGTAAAATAACACAACTTTTTTTCTCCATTGTGGTCAGTGTGTTGTTTTGGTGTAACAGTAGTGAACACTTAGTTAGTAGTATGTGAATTATTGCATTATAATAAGGCAACAGTTGTTGTTGTTTTTTGCATTGTTTTTTACTGAACCAATATGAGTTTTTAATAAGACGAGTGTGTAATAGTATTTCAACTATATATTAATATTTTTTTCTGTCGCATGCAATATCAGAGTTCATCTGTCTGATTGAATTACAAAAAAGTCGCCCCCTCTCCCAATGGCCTAGCGGTAAGTCGTCCCCAGTGGCTTATAACATTAAAAACCATGTTTCGATATCCGTAGTAGGCATAGCACAGATAGTCCATTGTGTAGCTTTGTGCTAACAACAAACAAGCAAATACAGCAAAGTCTTATTGAAGAAGGATGTGATTTAAATTGTTATTAGTCTTATTGTGAGTAATAGGACATACTTATTACTATATTTGACAGATTACAGAAGTTTCTATATAGGAAATTATAGTGTTAACTAATGATGATAAAACAACTTTGAAAAATATCCTGAAGGACCTTCAAAAAGTTTGGTATAATATAGCCAATAAAAATGACATATAAAGAACTTCATAGCTTTATCTACCATATAAAGCAAAAAAATATGTGTGTTTGTCTGTCCGTTATCTAATTACTTCTACGTCGCTGGGCTAATCTCAATCAAACTTTGTGGGATGATAGTTTGGAACAAGGGGCATGTTAATGGAGGTTTTAACCCCCTCTAGCCCATTGTTGCTGTTATTAAGCATTTACTATCTTTGACGTAAGTTTACATTAACTACATCCATAGATGGCGCAACGTCCTTACACCTAAAAACTTTATTCAATTTTCAATAACACAACATACACACAGTGTGTGTGTGGGTGGGGGGGGGCACATAAACGTCCTATATATCTCAGAAAGTGCGCTAGCACTCTCTGTGAAGGAATGCAATGAAAAAAATGGCCGCCACTATTGCAATACTACATAAACTCAGCTGAAGTTTCTACTTCAACAACCCTCATAAGGCTGTATGAAGAGCCGTTTCTTGAGTTATAACACACTTCTGTGACCAATGTCCGTCAATTAAGTGATAACGTAAAACACTGTGGAAGGTCAAAAGGAGCTGTATGTTGAAAACGGATAACATAAAGAACCCCTACCACCACTACTTTGATCGCTACCTCTTCCTACAAAGCCACCCTGACCATCACATAGTGTATATCATGTTTTAAGTATAAACATGGTGAGTTCTTAAAGCTTATACAAAACTTTTGGTGAGGCAATAATGAATACTGTAATAATAATAATATGCTATGTTATAAATAAATTACGTGAAAGTTAGAAGTCTTGTGTTATTTATCATAGCTAACACCACCCACACATATTTCTTAAGTTCATAACCCGGGCAAAGGACTGGTACCTCAGCTTGTTTATATATAACCCGGACAAAGGACGGGTACCTCAAGTTGTTTATATGTAACCCGGACAAAGGACGGGTACCTCAACTTGTTTATATATAAAGTATATAACATAATTTCTACATAAAGTTTATAGCTTTCTTTGTATTTATACTATATCGATTTCTTTATATATAAAATGTATAACATTAGTTGTATATATACTATATAGCTTTATTTGTATATAAATAGAGAGAAAAGAAGAAATTCCGGAAAAGGTGCAGAGGAAAGAATGTCTCGGGTGATGATGGGACAAGTAATAATGCAAAGCGGGAAAAAGTAGCACATTAAAATGGTATAGTCTCTTTCTAAATATAAAACAATTACAGAAATTTTGTGTTTATAATTTCTATGCAATCATTATTATTTCGAACATTGCATCACTGCTTCTGCTACTCTTATCAGTGTTATTGTTACTGGATCAGTGATAGGTATTACATTTAAATATAATAGAATGCCTATTTTAATGTCTCTAAATATGTTAGGAAAATCAATCATATTGATTACAAGGATGTCCTTTATTAGAAGCATCCTCATACATAAAGTAAAAATGACTTTAATTTCAAGAACTGCTTTGTCAGAAATCAGGGCTGCAGAAATTTGAACAACTAACATATCAGACGGCTTACTAATCGAGGCCAGGCATGGCCAAGTGGATAAAACGCTCGACTCGCAATCTGAGGGTCGCGGGTTTGAATCCCCGTCTCACCAAACATGCTCGCCCTTTCAGCCGTGGGGGCGTCATAACGTGACGATCAATCCCACTATTCGTTGGTAAAAGAGTAGCCCAAGAGATGGTGGTGGCTGCCTTCCCTCTAGTCTTACACTGCTAAATTAGGGACGGCTATCGCAGATAGCCCTCGTTAGCTTTGCGCAAAATTCAAACAAAAACAATACTAATCGAGAGTTAAAGATTGTTCCAAGTAAAAAATAAATTATATAATTATTTTCTGTTCAACATTCTGAATAAATATTGTCATAAACAATAAGACATTAAGAAAAGACCAATATAATTGTTATATTTTTCAGAAACATATACAATCTTGGCCACAATGTTTTCATACTCTTTTATATTGTCTACATGTATGCCGTAGTTATTCAGTAAATGCCCGAGTAGTGACAGAAAAGGTAGCGTATGATTGCACAAACATGTATGAGTTGTTATTCTGGTCTGTATAAGTTGGTTTGAGTATTTGTTCGTGAAAACATACATACACACCTGTTTTGTATAAGAGGGTGTGCTTTTGGTATAATATTTTTTTGAAACAGATCAACGCTTTGTTTAGACAATTTCTCTGTACTTGGTGTAGAGTCATGCCAGAATGTATAGGGCGTCAATTCGACTGTTCAGAAGTGGCATGAAGCAAACGGACGTTGCCAGAACAGTAGGGTACCCCACTGTACTCTATCCAGATTCCTGAAACGTCATCGGAATAAAGGAAACGTTGTTCCAGGAAAGTCTACTGGTAGACGCCGTGATGACAGTGCTTTGATCAGGTTAATACATCAAGGTCGAAATAAGTCTTCTAACATCTTACGACATGAGTGGCATGAACATATTCATTCCAGGATATCTAGAAGAACACTAAATAGGAGACTGACCAAACAAGATTATTTTGCAAGAAGGGCTACCTGCAAACCGATATTAACCAGAAATTACCGCCATCACTGTGTTACTTG